CACACACCCTCCCTCCCAAAAGAAAAAAAAAAGCATGCTGAGAAGCACATGCACATGAGAACTGAAGGAACAACAGTTGGATACGACTTGCTTACCAGTCCCTTGAGAGATCTATTTATGGGCCCAAGAGACTTCAGGCTCCATCGTAGTATTCTGCCATCTCCTTCCAACTCATCCTCTGAGTTCAGTCCCTCCTCGTCTGTCCACCTCCTTTAGTTAATCATGCACACTTTGCAGATCTCATCCACTGCGTTTCTGAAAGAGCCAAGCTCTCTATGCTCCCCTCTGGTTCGAAAACAGTGAATTTTCTACTTGATTTTATTGATTTAGACTACAAGAGCTTTTAACTAATGTATAAAAAATACAGGAATCAATATTTATTCAAAAATAGGGCAGTGAATTTTATTTCCCATCAATAAGACCTGCAGAGAGAGGATCTTTGGATGACTTTTTTAAATGAAAGAAATCCACAAGTTAAAAAGAAAAGTGAAACCTTTAAAATATCATTTGTATCCACGTGCGTGTCACGAGGAGTGTTTCAGTAATGAGAATCAGTGATGTAAAATCTAAATCAAAAACTAGTAAGGCAGAAAAAAATACAAGGATGTAACTCAGAAAATGAGCCACTGGCTGAGACAACCATGCAGGGTCTAAAATTACTTCACCAGGAGATCTTTGATGAACTGGGCATATCAGGAAACTGCAGGGAAACAAAAGTCAAAAATTGAAAACTCGAAAATCCTTGAAGGTGTAGAGACACGTTTGATTTTCCTTTGTCTTGACTATAAGCACTCTTCTGCGTGACGTCAGTCATGATGTTGTCCTCACCAAGCTCCATACGCCCATCTGCCCTGGCACGACTCTTTCAGACTGAATCTGGACGGGTATCGTGTCTGCACTGGGATGTTTCCATCACCTTGCCACAACCCTGATTGTAGCCCAGGCATGAGGCCATCGTGGCCAGTTTGGCTTCATGTTCTTTACAACCGAGCCAGTGAGCCCCCCGTTATGGATCCGCTTCCACCACATTCTGCCAAGCACCAACCTGAACCTCAATATACTGTGACCACAATGATAAACTATTACTATCTTACAATGGTTTAGTACATGCTCAAAACCATTGTGGACCTGGTATCACGCTCTATAACTCATAAAGGCAAGATCGATGCATTTTTAATTTGCATCTGAAGACCTCGCCAAGAGCCTGAAGACCACCCACTCTCTGACTGATATTTGTCATTGTAGTGGGGTCACCATCCAGAATGAGGCCTAAAAGCAATAATGAATCTGCTCACCTATAAAGGGATTTTAATACCAGACCAAGGAGATGTTGTGATGCTTCACATGAGTTTAAATAGCTTCAGGAAATGAGATTATTTCATGCCTGGGGTTTTATTTTCCATCGTGTCATGTTTTAAACAAACAGGCAGCTGTTTTACATTTATTTGCTTGTGATTTTCTTTACAGCATCTTTATGTTGTTCACACTTCTTCCTTGTCTTTATTGTGTTAAGAGAAAGAGTTTGCTTTAAAGTTTTTTTACGAGAACTAACAAGATAATACTGTTTTTTTTCTGTTGTACTTGTTTGGTCTGTTATTTTTGTTGCATCCAATCATCTTACAATACTGCAACAATCCTCTATTGAACACATCTCAGTGTGCCAGCAGGGAATAAAAAAAAAAAACTTTTATTGTGAAGAAACATCTGACAGAACCAGACTAAAATGTGTGTCCATTTTCCTTAACCACTTGAAGTTTTACAGTTATAAAAGAGAGCGGGAGGGGGATACAGAGTAAATAAATAATAAATAGTACTATTTAT